GGTCGTATATATGAGCTTAAAGCCCATACGTAACGTATGTAAACAAGTATACGCAATAGAAAAACCCGCGTATACCCTGTCGTGATTTTGAAACGAATGGCCAACCATAAAATCGTTGATTTGAGCTGTATCACCTCCTGCCTGGTTTTGCCTGGTTTTGCCTGGTTTTCTCGTGGACACACTCTTAAAATTTCTGGAGTATCTGTCTCAGCCATACATACCATGTCTGTTTGCATTTCCTCGTCACCCATGTCGATTTGTCTTTCTCCTTCCCCGTCTTTCGCCTCTGTTACTCCACCACCATCTTTCACTTTTTCATATTCAGTTTCTGGAACTGTCTGTTCTTGTGATAGCTGGGTTACCTCTGTTGGCCATTGATTGGGGTCGTTTCCGTGGTTAGCTGAAAGCGGTTGTACTGAAGTGTTTTCCTGGTGTTCCAAACCATTTAAAGACAAGTCGGGACAACTCACCTAGTAAGTGCGAGTTATACAAATGAGATTTGGCTGGCTAAATCAAAGCAGTGAAAAAACGAACAGAGTGATCAAAATTGTCAGTACTTACACTCTGATAGTTTTTAACAACAACTCTCACTTCTTTCTGGTTCTGTGTGTTACCTAGAAAACAGATGACAATAAATTCATCAGTAATGCAAATAAGTTTTAAGCATAAAATTATGCAAGTTATCATCTACTGAAGTCTCAATCTCTATTTTGTGGGCTGTAGTAACTCTGCCCCTGTCGAGCGCGGTCGCAGAGCTAAAAAAGTTTCTTAATTGCATTTTCGACTACAAAACACGGAATATGTTGAAGTATGAGGTGCTATTCCTTGCGATTTTGCAGGAATGTGCTGGATTAGATCCTATTTTTAAACCTCCAGGGCTGATATTGAGTTTGAATTATGATCTTTTACTCTGAGATAGGGTCGCTGAATGCGGAGTTTATATTTTGTTAAATTTACATCGTTTCTGCTTATCTAAGTCACGTCCATCGAACCCATAAATTTAATTAGAAAGAACTTTTCTTGATAAGCAAAATAATTTTTCCTCACTTGAGTATTGCCCGACCGAACCGTGAAATTGTGGACCACTGAGTACTGGGTTCGTTGATGTGTCATTTTGAACTCCTCCTGATCTGGTTTCTTCCATAGTGGTACTCTTAAAAGAAAGAAAAAAGAAAACAGAAGTGATTTTGTACAAACTAATCCATTCAAACCATCTTAAGCAGTCCATTACTGCCTTAAAGATCCAAGTTAAGACTCTTTTCAGACTTAGGTATTTTAGGTAGACCTGAACATAAGCCTCATTGGCTTCCCTGGGCGTCCTTGCCTAATATACATTGATGTGTTGTTGTCACATTTATAAATGGCAAAAATAAAACAAGAACAATAACAAGTGAGCCAAAAGTGGCGATTACATACAGATTCAATAAGAAACACAAATGTCCTCTATTGAATTTACGCCTACAGTGACAGGACAAACTAAATACCGTTGCAGTTGCAGAGTTTGTTAAAAGTCTACGCATCCCGTTAAACAAAGGCTTTTTTCGACGTCAGCACTATAGATATTTATAGTAATGACTGTACGCTGCAGCAGTCATGACACTTTTCTCAGGGAATAATATTTTTAAATAGTGTAAGTAGTTTACAAACGCATTAGCTCATACCTCAATTAAGACGTATACAGCTCTGTTTGATTTTGCTGCTCGTAGAATGTTCTTTCCATTCCATTCCGCCGAGTGGTCTTTTCCTTCACACTGAAGTGAACAAGGACAGAAGTACCTCTTTCCTGCTTCATCCTTTGTGAAAAACGCAAACCTAGAATGGACAAAGATATCAAGAGAAAACATCACATGTTAACTGGAATATCATAAAACGTAAAACTTCCAGTGGAACGCCTACATAATGAGCAGCCTATCTCTATAGAACTCTAGCTCCAGTATAATGAGGAATTATCGGTGAATAGCATTACTGACCGCCGGTTTCAAGTATTATCAGAAGAAGCGGATCCGAAAGTTGTAAATAGTTACTAATATTAAAAACATGTACACTGTATATACCCCTGTGTAATAACATAATCTGTAGGAAAGGCTATTCTTACCGCTTGCTTCTCAACTGTGGTAATTCTCTAATGAGAGTTTCCCTTATCTCTCCTTCAGTTGTGTTCACATTTAATGTAATCTTTACAGCGGCCTTCTTCCTTTCATCTCTATTCGATGATGTTACGAATTCACTTGAATATACTCGAAACGTTTTCCGGAAAGGCCTTTTTCCTCCAACACTACCTTCGTCCTCTTCAGAAGTGGAGGTTAGGTTACAGGCACCTCCTTTTCTTTTGGTTCCCATAGTTACTGAAAAGATGCAAAGGAAAAACATCATTGATAACGAAGCAAAGACCATTTCAGTAATATTACAAGGTAATATTCCGCAGTTGATGATTATACGAAAGATGTTAATTCACCACTGAAGTAGAAATCTTCAAATTTGGACGTAAATCTAACAGCTGTAAACAGACATTCAGCCATGTCGTTTACATGTATAAACTTTCCGTAAATATTATGATGATAAATAGCCGAATTCGATATATCAAACAGAGAGCAAATTATCATTATTGTTTATTTATTTGTTTTGCATTTTTATCTATTAAATCACATTTAATTAGCCCGACTTTGTAAACAGCAATAACATCGACTGAGAGTCAGCAAGTAAAGCTAAGAAATCGACTTCAGTTATAAGCACGGCACTTTCATCACAAAGCTGGTTTCAGTTTCCATTGCAAAAATTTACTGCCGGAACGACTACGTATTTTGTAAATGTTTCCACGTTACAAGAACGTTGCTTGAAACGGCCCTGAAAGATGTTAGACCATGTGAGAAATGCAATATCGTTCGATACATATGCATGGTCAAATATTATCAGCCTCTTTGAGCCACTCATTGTTCAGCCCCGAAGATCGTCAGGGCATCAAGCTAATAGTACGCATAAGTTCCGCGACTAATGTTTCGTCGATAACTAAGCGAAAGTCAAGGCGCAGGGTGAGACGCTCCGAGTAATCAGAAGACCTGGCAAGTAGACTTTGATCATGGTGAACGGAGTACTGATTCTCAGTAAATGCGGAGAAAGAATTAATTTAAATTTTAATAAGATATTAAGACATGTGTACTGGAGAAAATATTAGCTCCAGGGTCCAGTAGATAAGACTGTCAACTTATGTAGTATTATTCCATTATTTTTCGTTCTTTTGTATTTTGAAACCTCAAATAAATAAAACTAAACCCGTCATACACTTCTATCCACCATGTAGCCAAAGCTGTGTTGCCAAAGCCTAGCGTATTGTGAAAAACAGCTCCTCTTTTCTCTCTAACACTGTGACAGTCGCGACTAAAATATGCTAAAACGCAGTAAGTGGTAGTCTTTGGTTGTTTCTATGGTAATCATTCTATTGTTATTATGACTCAATCACGTGACGATAAAAAGTCACAAATATCAAACAAATTAGCACATATTAAATTTAGACGCCGACAGAGAATTTCGGAGAGAACTGAATCTTGGTCCAAGTTGTACAGCCGGTAATTAATAAAAGAGAAACCAAAACGACATTCCAGCGTCTGCTTTATAGCAGAACTTGACCCGCTGAAGGCAGGAACAGATCCGGCAGACTAGCTTGGCAACATACATAAATTGATGAACGTTTATGAGCGGATGAGACATGCTTTGAATGTCGTTAACTCGAACTCCGTTGTCTTGAGTTCACTTCTGTCATTTCCTATTGAATATGCTTTTTTGGTCATTCACTTCGGCCATCTCGAACCGGCCCTCTATCCATCTCAAAACTATCCATTTCCTTTTGCTGAGAGTTCAAATATTGACTAACTACTTCTGAAACAAGGAAGTAAACAGGAAGCGACGTACTCAAAGTTTTACGCATGGCTCGGGTATAAATTTCGTGATTCACGGCAAATAGATTGATGTCTAAAATATCCCAATGTTTCTATTTACAATCCATTCAACAATTCTTGTGCATGATGCACGATTCATTCGATCAAGATGAGACGCCGCAGACGTCCAAACACGCTGTAAAGGAACCTACTTCACTCGGTACTTTTCGAGATGCTCGATCAAAAATTTAGTGTCAGGTTTTTCTCAAGCACTGCTCGAATTCAAGTAAGAAAATTAACTTGCTTTACCTCAGAGTACTGAGGAGATTGCCTCCTGGAAGAGACACTTTGTTTAATACAATGAGCGTGGACTTACCGCAATCGCAGGATGTTTCAAGTGATATTAAAGTCTAAAGTTCCCGAAAAAAACACCGTCTTTACGTGGTTGTTCTTCCAATTTTAAGGTACCTGAAGCCTTCAAACTAAGCCATCTTCATTAAAAGCACGGACAAACACAGGAAGACTATAAAGTGCACACCGAAGCAACTGCTAACTGAGAAATGTTCACATGTATGCATAATAAAATATGCCACTGTGATCATGTGATCGAACCAAGGGATATCATTCAGTGCAGGAGACAAGATACCAAGAGGTCACTATCAAAAGTTGATGTTTATGTGTCACGCATTTAGATTGTCTTTACAAAGCAGGGAGCCGGAAGCAGGGAGCCGTGTAGCTAGTAAAAGGCAAACCGAGGAACTTGCCTGAAGTCATTTTTTCCTCGTTTTTGTTGTTGTAAAATACGTGCATGTACCTTGCTGCGACGGGAAAACAGCCCAGTTCATTGAGTCAGTCAAAATCAAAACAATACACATTCTGGGTCCATATTGATGATGAACAAACGGAGCAGGTGAACAGTCACAATTGAGACAGTCGTATACTGTTACACCTAACTGGGAAATTGCCATAAATCGATAATAAATATGAATTGTCAGAATTAAATAACAACGTGTTTGACTTATCCGACAAATAACATGTTAAGTGGCCAGTAAATCCTTATCTTAACTACATGAAAGACAACATTTTCGATAAAATCAACGCTTTAGTTAACCATCTCAGTTCACGTTATGGTAAATTTTATTAGTATTACGGTTTGTAAAGTTGACATAGTCTTGGAGGAGTAACTTTAACTAAGTCTTCTTTTATACGCAAATTGAGCCAGCGAAAATTGATCCGTAGTTAAATGTCACACGTACATGCAAATCTTGACAATTATTATTACAATAACATACAGCTCGTTATTAAAATTGAGATGGCCCAAAAATGTCAGTTGTGAACCGAGGGAGCGCGCTCACTCGCTGCGCACTGTTTCTTTCTGTCACATTTCTCTCCATAACAGACTCTAAGCAGTCCCTAACACATACACAATCAAACACTGGTACTAGGAGAAAAGTGCTCAGTCAAGTGAAGGAGACAAACTTCACTCAAATTTCACAAGACTGATCTATAGTGAAATGGATTTCAGTGAAACAACCACTGAAATAATTGTTCAGCCCCGTCAGGGTATCAAGCTGATAGTATCCATGCGTCCAACTTATGTTTGATCGATGAAACGAAAACAGTCAAGGCTCGCGGTGAGTCGCTCCGAGTAATGAGAAATACCTGCGTTTCCTTCCTGACAAGTAGACTTTGATCACGGTGAGCGGAGTACTGATTCTCAGTAAATGCGGAGAAAGAATTGATTTAAACTTTCATAAGATATTACGGCATAAGTACTAAAGAAACTATTAGCTTCAGGGTCCAGTAGATAAGACTGTCAACTTATGTAGTATTATTCCTTTATTTTTCGTTCTTTTGTATCTTGAAACCTGAAATAAATCAAACTAAATCCGTCATATGCTTCTATCCACCATGTAGCCAAAGCTGTGTTGCCAAAGCTTAGCGTATTGTGAAAAACAGCTCCTCTTTTCTCTCCAACACTATGACAATCGCGACTAAAATATGCTCACACACAGTAAGTGGCAGTCTTTGGTTGTTTCTATGGTAATCATTCTACTGTTATTATGACTCAATCACGTGATGATATAAAGTCACAAATTTCAAAACAAATGGCACCACATATTAAATTTAGACACCGACAAAGAATTTTGACAGAGAACTGAATTTGCGTTTACGTTGTACAACCGGTAATAAAAGAGAAACCAAAACGACATTCCAGTGTAAGCTTTATAACAGAACTTGGCACGCTGAAGGCAGGTACTGATGAGAACTTTATGAGCGGATGATATATTTTAAACGTCGTTAACTCGAACTCGGTTGTCTGGAATTCCTTCCTATCATTTCCCCCTTAATGCTCTTTTTCTGTCATTTACTATCGGCCATCTCGAACTGGCCTCCGATCCATCTTAAACGATCCGCTTCGTTTCCCTTAAAAGAGTCCAAATATTGACAAACTACTAACCAAGGAAGTAAATTAACAGGAAGCGACATACTCAAAGTTTTACGCATGGCTCACTTATGAATCTCGTGATTCACGGCAAATAGATTTGATGTCTAAAATATCCCAATGTTTCCATTTACAATCCGTTCAACAATTCTTGTGCATGCTGTACGATTCATTCGATCAAGATGACACGCCGCACACCAAAAACGCTGTAAAGGAACTTACTTTACTCGGTGCTTTTCGAGATGCTCGATCAAAAATTTAATGTCAGGTTTTTCTCAAGCAGGGCTGGAATTCAAGTAAGAAAATTGACTTGCTTTACCTCAGAGTACTGAGATTGCCTCCTGGAAGAGAAGTTGCGTACATGCTATGCTACACAACAATTACACACTTTGTTGAATACAATGAGCGTGGACTTACCGCGATCGCAGGATGTCTCTAGTGATATTAAAGTCTAAAGTTCCCGAAAGCTCTAAAACCGTCTTTACGTGGTTGTTTTCCAATTTTGAAGCAGACCTGAAGCTTTCAAACTAAACCATCTCCATTAAAAGCACGCACAAACACAGTAAAACTATAAGGTGCATACCGAAGCAACTGCTAACTGAAAAATGTTCACATGTATGCATAATAAAAATATGCCACTATGATCATGTGAACGAACCAAGGGATATCATTTATGCAGGAGACAAGATACCAAGAGGTCATTATCAAAAGTTGATGTTTACGTGTCACGCATTCAGATTGTCTTAACAAATACATTTTTGAAAGCAGGGAGCCGGGTAGCTAGTAAAAGGCAAACCGAGGAACTCAGTCATTTTTTTTCGCTCGTTTTTGTTGTTGTAAAAAACGCGCATGTACCTTGCTGCAACTGGAAAACAGCCCAGTTCATTGAGTCAGTCACTCAGAGGCAATCAAAACAATACGCATTCTGGGTCCATATTGATGATGAACAAATGAGCAGATGAACAGTCACAATTGAGACAGTCGTATACTGTTACACCTAACTGGGAAATTGCCATAAATCGATAATAAATATGAATTGTCAGTATTAAATAATAACGTGTTTGACTTATCTGACAAATAACATGTCAAGTATATCCAGTGAATCCTTATCTAAGGTACATGAAAGACAACATTTTCGATAAAATCAACGCTTTAGTTCAGCATCTCAGTTCACGCTATGTTATATTTTATTAGCATTACCCCTTGTTAAGTTGACATTAGTCTTTGAGGAGTAACTTTGACTAAGTCTTCTTTTATGAGCAAATTGAAACAGCGAAAATTGATCCCATTACGTGACGTAGGTAAATGTCACACGTGCAAATTATGACAATTATTATTACAATAACATACAACTTTGTATTAAAATTGAGATTGCCCAAAAGTGTCAGTTGTGAACCGAGGGAGCGCGCTCTCTCACTGCTCACTGTTTCTTCCTGTCACATTTCTCTCCATAACAGACTCTAAACAATCCCTAACATATACATATTCAAAAATTGGTCCTGGGAGAAAATTGCTCAGTCATGAAGTGAAGGAGACAAACTTCACACAAATTTCACAAGACTGATCTATAATGAAATGGATTTCACTGAAACAACCACTGAAATCATTGTTCAGCCCCGTCAGGGTATCAACCTGATAGTATGCATAAGTCGTGCAATAACTTATGTTTGATCGATGAAACGAAAACAGTCAAGGCTCACGATGAGACGCTCCGAGCAATGAGAAATACCTGCGTTTCCTTCCTGACAAGTAGACTTTGATCATGGCGAACGGAGTACTTATTCATAGTAAATGCGGCGAAAGAATTAATTTAAACTTTCATAGAATATTAAGGCACAGGTAGTAAAGAAGATATTAGCTCCACGGTCCAGTAGATTAGAATGTCAACTTATGTAGTATTATTCCTTTATTTTTCGTTCTTTTGTGAAACCTCAAATAATTTTAAACCTGACATACACTTTTATCCACCATGTAACCAGAGCTGTGTTTAATACCAAAGCCTAGCGTATCTTGAAAACCAGCTCCTCTTTTCTCTCCCGAACACTGTGACAGTCGCGACTAAAATATGCTCACACACAGTAAGTGGTACCAGTCTTTGTTTCTATGGTAATCATTCTACTGTTATTATGACTCAATCGCGTGACGATAAAAAAGTCACAAATTTCAAACAAATTAGCACCATGAACATATTACATTTAGACGCCGACAGAAAATTTGGGAGAGAACTGAATTTTCGTCCAAGTCGTACAGCCAGTAACAAAAGAGAAACCAAAACGACATTCCAGCGTCTGCTTTATAACAGAACTTGCCCCGCTGAAGGCACCAACAGATCAGACTAGCTTGGCAACATACATAAATTGATGAACGTTTATGAGAGGATGAGATATACTCTGAATCAGTGAATGTCGTTAACTCGACCTCAGTTGTCTTAAATTCACCTCTGTCATTTTCCCTTGAATATGTTCTTTTGGTCATTTACTGTCGGCCATCTCGAACCGGCCCCCGGTCCATCTCAAACTATCCCTTTCGTTTCCCTTTTAAAAAAGAGTTCAAATATTGACCAACTACCAGATGTAATCAAGGAAGTAAACAGGAAGCAACATACTCAAAGTTTTACGCACGGCTTGTGTCGAATTTCGTGATTCCCGGCAAATAGATTGATGTCTAAAATATCCCAATGTTTCTATGTGCTATCCGTTCAACAATTCGTGTGCATGCTGCACGATTCTTTCGATCAAGATTAGACGGTGCAGACCAAACACGCTGTAAAGGAACACACTTTAACTGGTACTTTTCGAGATGCTTAATCAAGAATTTAATGTCAGTTTTTTCTCAAGCAGGGCTGGAATTCAAGTAAGAAAATTAACTTGCTTTACCTCAGAGTACTGAGGAGATTGCCTCCTGGAAGAGAAAATTGCCTACACGCTATACTACACAACAATTACAGACTTTGTGGAATACAATGAGCGTGGACTTACTGCGATCCGCCACAGGATGTCTTAAGTGATATTAAAGTCTGAAGTCCCCGAAAGTTCTAAAACCCACTTCAGGCGGTTGTTTTCCAATTCTAAAGTACTTTAAAACTAAACCATCTCCATTAAAAGCACGCACAAACACAGAACAACTAAGATGCGCATACCGAAGTAAATATTCACATATACGCGTAATACAATATGCTACTAAGATCATGTGAACGAACCAAGGAATGTAATTTTATGCAGAAGACATGACAGGTTCGAGAGGTCACTAATTTTTGTATGTTTATGTGTCACGCATTCAGATTATCTTTACAAATACGTTTTCGGAAGCAGAGAGCCGGGTAGCTAGTAAAATAAGAAGTGCATACCGAACAAAAACAATCAACAGTCCTTTAGTTACACACGATTCGGTTTAAAGCAATAGATTTGCTTGTGGGGTCGTGTTTACACTAAAAACAGAAATACGTACAGTAATAATATGATAATTCTACAATTCTAACAATTGTACAATTCTACGATTCTAATAATTTAAAATTGTAAAAAAATGATTCTATAATTCTAATAAAACTTATCAAAGCAGATCCTAAGAAATGATCACATGTACCCATAACAAAATATTCTGATAAGATCATGTGAACGAACCAAGGTAGGGTATGTAATCTTTAAGCAGAAGACATGACAAGATTAGAGGTCACTAAAGTTGGCCCGCTTTTTTTTGGATGTTTATGGTTGTTTGCCATTTCCTCGGAAAAACCGGTTGGTCGACAGTTGTATTAAATGGGACGTGTCAAATCCCGAATGGAAATTTCCATTTTCACGACTTTTTCCCGGAAGATAGGAGCAAAGGCGATCCAAACCAAAAGGCCAGGAACTGGTAAAACGAACAAATAGAACGCACATTTTCCATTCGGAAAGTCCGTTTGGGAATTTTGGTCTACCTTTCAAGAAATCCCCTTTTCCAGAGAAAATTTATGTCCGGGGAGACAAAATTGATCTTTCCATCTAAACGCAAATCAACGCAACTGCACAGTTTCCCGCTAATCCACGTAATGATTTCTCACACATGTCAGAGAAAACTTTTTCTAGCTAAAAATCAAATTTTATGAAAGTTCTTTGACATAGGAGCGCCATATATATTTGTAGCCATGATAAGTACTAGTTGCACTCTTTTCAAAATAACAAGATATAGTGGAACCTCCTGATATAACGAAGGGCCAAGGAACTGGAAAATATGTTCGCTATAACGAGATTCATTGTATTGAGGTTCTTTTCCATATATTTTACTTTTACTGGGGCCAGGAAAATCGTTCGTTTTATCGAGGACTTCGTTATATAGAGGTTCGTTAAACCAAGTTTCCACTGTAGAAAAATCTCAGGGTTTTCAATGTGACCGCAATAAAAAGCAGTAACTAATTTCCACCGGGACCCTTACTCTTAATCACTCGGGCATTGTTAAGTTATGGGAAACGAGGTGACCCCGGGGGTGAAAGGGAGTAAGTGTTCTAAGTCTGCGAGCGTGAAACTCGTCGCTGGGGGAGGAGAGAAGGTCGCTGATCCGTGATTCCGGTCCTCCAGCAATTCACGAGAAGACAAAGTACAGTGGCATAACATTAGACCACCAAAAACAACTGGGCCCGTTGAATACAAAATTAGGATGCTCGTTCGTGCGGGCCCCGGTGAGAATAAACCGAGATGGACAAAGACGATGGTCAAGTAAATAGCAGAAACACCAAAAATAGATTTGTTGAATTAGATGTCCCAGTTTCGTTATCCTGTCTGAGCTGCTACTGCTGCTACTGCAGGAAGCGTGTAAGAAAAAGCTGATGAGTTCCGTATTTACTCCAAAAAGCACCGCGGCGATTATCAAATTTCGCGGCGTTTCAATGTAGTCCTTAATTATTCGAGGGCGGTTTTTTTAATTAATTTTATTCATTAGTAAACCTGTCTTGGAATAGGTCATAGCAAATGTTATTTCATCCAAAAACATCAGTTTTTTCAGTGTCATTCTTTCTTCTTTCTACCATATCGCAGTAAAGTAGTTCTGTAGTGACGAAAGTCTTTTAGAATCAGAGCCGCATTAGGATATGTAAGCAAAGCGATGGTCTGCGGGACTGCAGCGCTAATTTTACTGTTATGTGCGGCTCTTGATAAAGGGCTGCGCTTGTTAGAGTAGATACGGCATTCAGCGTCATGAGTTAATTTGCTACATATTCTTCTTGACTGAGTCATCGACTTTACCCTTTACCTTTCATTTCCTATTTTATTTATTTCGCTTGCTCTCAGCATTTATTTACTTCTTGGAGCCCTGCCTGCAGGTTCTATTTCATTTTACAATATCAGCAGACATGCAAATGTCCCAGTTCTATAGTAAAAATTTATTTTAACCCCTAAACTCTAAAAGGGCAATTTTTAAAGTAAGATATAGAACATTCTCAAGCCAAAAACTAGTCTCCTTCGCAGCCGTGTGGAGAAACGTTATGAGACGACGCAAATAACGGCTGCGAACTGGAGACTAGCCAAAAAACAAACAGAAAAAAAAGCAATTGGAGTCTTCGACCAGTGAATGAATAGATGAGGAAATACACCTACAAAAAGAAATGTTTTTGTGCCCCCGTAACTCGTGGCCAGATCGATCCAAATTTTTGGCTTGTTGTTGTTAAGCTAACTCACAGTAAATCGACAGGCAAAAAACGCGGATTATGCGACGAGCTGTGGTAGCAAGTAACTGACAATTTTTAACTGATGAGACGTCTCTCTTAAAATAATCATTGTCTTCGTATAGATTTCCAAAAATAGTTATTCGAAGAAATTAATGCATCAGAGAACCATTCTCCTCCTTATTTCCTCTGTAGGAAAATTGTTTATGACCTGAATCAACCTGTTTTATTTCTGGCTTCAAAACTTTCATTCCAGGTACTTGGACGCAATTTACTGAACAGAACTCCCTTCCCAGATCAATCCATTAGTACCCTTGCGTGGATGAGGGTTTACGCACAATGTATGGAATTAATCTTTGCGCTATGTCATCCCTTTCGATTCTTTGCAGATTCCTAACAAGATGACGAACAGTATGATCTGGGTATTTAGTCTTTATATGACTCATTAAGACGTCAGAGGGAATTCCGCCACCGTTCTGAAACTCGTTTTTCAAGGAGTTGCGATCTGTGAGCGAAATCTTATCGTAACNTTCCTCTGTAGGAAAATTGTTTATTACCTGAATCAACATGTTTGATTTCTGGCTTTAAAACTTTCATTCCAGGTGCTCGGACGCAATTCACTGTACAGAACTCCCTTCTCAGATCAATCCGTTAGTACCCTTGAGCGGATGAAGGTTTTCTCACAGTGTATGGAATTAATCTTTGTGTTATGTCATCCCTTCCGATTCTTTGCAGATTCCTAACAAGATGACGGACAGTATGATCTGGGTATTTAGTCTTTATATGACTCATTAAGACGTCAGAAGGAATTCCGCCACCGTTCTGAAACTCGTTTTTTAAGGAGTTGCGATCTGTGAGCGAAATCTTATCGTAACAGGAAGCTAAGCGCTCGAAGTCCCACCATTCACCAGGCCTTTTGCTGTTAAGGTCTTTACACATCCGTTCAAACACTGGAAAGTGCTTTTCCTCGAGCTCTTCAAGGGTAACATCACCTAAAAATGGAAGTAGTGGTAATTTATTAATGTTATTGTTGATGATGTTCATGTTACCCATGTTGTTGGTGACGGAGTTGCGTTGGTGGCTGTTGGGGATGAGGCTAAGGGCGATGTGAAGGTGATGATCTGGTTTTTGTGCCCGCGGATCAGCTGATGTTCGTGGGGTTGGAAGTGCATGGTGATGGTTGTAGCAGTGATACATGTGGTGACCAGATAATTTGAAGGGAACGCCTCAATCGGAGAGAGGTGGGAAATTGTTTATTTTTTAAATTGAAATTAATGATTCAACGAAAACTTCAGGGGCAGCTTTTCTCTTTCTTTCACCCCACTATTAATTTTCAATCATCAAACCTCCAAACAATGTTTTCTCTTTTTTGCCTTTGTCCCCAAAGGTAAATCAACTTTATTGTTTAATGCAAGCTATGAGCNAGATCTGTCGA